AGGACGTGGAAGCAACCCAAGTGCCCAATGATCGATGAATAGATAAAGAAGATGTGGTATATATATACATACACACACACACACACACACACACACACACACAATGGAATACTATTCAGCCATTAAAAAAAATGACAAAATAATTCCATTTGCAACAACACTGATGGAACTTGAGGGTATTATATTAAGCAAAATAAGCCAGACAGAGAAAGACAAACACCATATGATTTTACTCATATGTGGAAGATAAACAAATACACAGACAAAGAGAACAGATTGGTGGTTACCAGAGGGGAAAGGGGTTGGGGGGGTGGACATAAGGGGTAAAGGGGCACAAATATATGGTGACTGACAAATAATAATGTACAACTGAAACTTCACAATGTTGTTAACTGTTAGGACCTCAATAAAATAAGATAAAATAATCCCAGGCCACAGTGCTGTGAGGAGACCAGGTACGGAAGTTCTGGCCCACAGTTCCGGGTGAAGTCTGAGCTAGCAGCTAGCATCAACTGCCAGATGTGTGAGTAGACACTTCTAGGTGATTGCTGTTCCAGCTATAGTGTTATCCCCAGACTTTAAGCCTTTCCCAGTGAGGCCCCAAATACATATGTCATCTTGGCTGTACTCTTTCCAAATTCCTGACCCACAGAAACCATAAGCATAATAAAATGGCTGTTTTAAACTACTAAGTTTTAGAGTTGCCTGTAATGCAGCAATAAACAACTAGAAGGAGAAAAATCATGTGCATAAAGAACTTAGGGTACAGCATACTGTGGGAATTTTCAAAACAAAGAGAGTATATTCAGATGAGGTAATTCAGGGACCTCACCTTAAATTCCAGAAAGAAAGAAAAAAGCACTATTTGAAAGCACTGAAGAGTGCTGAAAAGCAGACAGAAACTGGAGGGGATGTGATCCTTGAAAGACAACACAAGGAGTAGGATCCACTTTTATATAGCTTTTCCCCCTGCACAACCCTAACCTCCCACGCCCAGTCAAGTGAGCCCCTGTGGTATAAAATGGCTAAAACTTGAGCAAAAAGCCAGTCTATCTGGTTAAGGTATCAGAGGATGGAGTTCAGGATTACCAGAGCAGCTGGAAAATGAAGAGGGAAATCTTGGAGAGGTGTGAGTCACAGTAGGGAGCCCCAAACACTTTAATATAAATTCTCTTTAAATACCTAGCTAGCCCATGATCAGCACATGCATGGTGGAGACTCCAAGGAACTCAGCATAAAAAAATAGCTGGAAGGCTAAAATAACTAAGCAGAGATTTCAGCTGCTGCCTACTGCAAGACATTTTGAAGTCTGAGTTCCACCAAGTCAGAGAAGATTAGACAATACCTTGGGATTTCCATACCCTAACAAAGTGTAAAACCAGGTCTCCATAATTCTAAAGTGATCAGCCAGTATTTTAACTGCCTATCAGAATAAAAAGTAACATTCTTCAGATGAAGATAAATGAACCCAGAGTATCTACAATGTATCACCCACAATGTCCAATATATAGTAAAAAAAAACTAGTAGACATTCACAGAAGCAGAAAAATTGTGATCTATTTTCAAGGAGCAAAAAAAAAAAGCAGTCAATAGAAAGAGATCCCAAAATGACTCAGATATTGAAATTAGCAGATAAGGACTTTAAAGCAGCCAGTACAAACACATTCAAAGACTTAAAGGAACATGATCAAAATAAGTGAACTGATGGAATCTCAATAGAGAAAGAGAAACTTTTAATGTAAATTTTAGAACTGAAAATCACAGTATTTGAAAATTAAAATTAGCTAGATGGGCTTAATAGATTAGAGATAGTAGAAGAAAATGACAGTAAACTTGAAGAAAGATCAAAAGAAATTATCCAATCTAGAAAGCAGGAATTTTTTTTTAAATTGGAAAAAAAAAAAAGGAACAGAGCCTCAGTGAGCTGAGAAACACTAGTAATTGGTCTAATATTTGTCTAATTGGGTCCCAGAAGAAAAGACAGAAAAAGGGAGAAAACATATTTGAAGAAATAATGGCTGATAATTTCCCAAATTTGGTGAAAAATATTAATTACAAATCCAGGATGCTCAGCAAACTCCAAGGAGGATAAATAAAAGGAAATCTTCATAATCAAATTGCTGAAAACCAGAGATAAAAAGAAACACTTGAAGCAACTTTAGGAAAAACATCAACACATTACATACAGGGGTGGGAGAACAATATACATGCTAGCTGGCTTCTCATCAGAAACAATGGAGGCCAGAAGGAAGTGGAAGGACATTTTTAAAGTGCTTTAAAAAAAAAAATCAATCAATCCTAAACTCTATACCCAACAAAAATATTTTTCAAAAGTGAGGGTGACAGCAATTCTACTTCTATCTATCCATCCAAGAGAAATGATAACATACATCTACACAAAAACTCGTACACAAATGTTCATCTTACTCTCAATAGCCAAGGAATGCAGCAGTCCACCATACATCAACTGATAAACGGACAAATAAATTGTGGGATATCCATACAATGGAATACAAATTCAGTAATAAAAATGAATGAGGTACTGATACGTGTTAGAATATGAATGAACCTCAAAAATATTATGCTAAGACAAAAGCCCCAAAATTGTATCATTCCATTTACATGAAACGTCCAGGTGAGGCAATTCTATAGACAGCAAGTAAATTTGTAATTGCCTAGTTTTGAGGGGAGTAGAATAGGGAGTGACTGCTAATACGCACAAGGTTCTAAAATTAGACTGTGGCAATGACAGTACAATTCTGTAAATACATTATTAAAAATCACTGAATTGTACATTTAAAACAGATGAATGTCATCATATGCATATTGTATCTCAATAAAGTTTTTTTTAATGAGGATAAAATAAAATAAAAATATTTTCAGGTAAACAAAAACTGAGATAATTCATCACCAGATCTGCACTAATAAAATGCCAAAGGAAATTCTTCAGGTTGAAAAGAAATGACACCAGATGAATCTCAGATCTACAGGAAAAAATGAAGGATACCAGAAATGATCAATATGTGGATCATTATGAAAGATTATTTTTTATTTTCTTCTCTTTATTTAAAAGACAACTACTTAAAGCAAAAATTACAACATTGTAGGGGTTGGCCCGGTGGCATCGTGGCTAAGTTTGTGTGCTCTGCTTCGGTGGCCTGGGGTTCACAGGTTCAGATCCTGGGCATGGACCTAGCACCACTCATCAAGCCATGCTGAGGTGGTATCCCACATAAAACAGAGGAAGACTGGCACAGATGTTAGGTCAGCAACCATCTTCCTCAAGCAAAAAAGAGGATTGGCAACAGATATTAGCTCAGGGCAAATCTTCCTCACAAAGAAAAAAGAATTACAATGTTGTATAGAACGTCCACAAAGATAAATTTATTTCTAAACAACATGTTAGTGATATTTTCAAGTAATATGCTTAAATGCATATGGGCATTTGCATACTGATGCTTAAATGAATGCAGGTGAAAAATCTCAAAGTAATGGGTCCAATTGTTAATCTGAAAAAAAGTACAATAAATATACTACCGAAGGTCCGAACACTGGAAACACAGACTGGGAGACAATATCTGCAAAGCAAGCATCTGGCAAAGGACTTTTATCACAATATAGAAAGAACTCCTAAACATTAATAATAAAAAAAAAAAATATAGGCAACAAAAATGTGCAAAAGACTTGAACAGACTTGAAATGGGCAAAAGACTTAAGACAATTAATGACTCAAAAGCACATAAAAAGGTATTCAACATCATTAGTCATCAGTGAAATACAAATTAATGAAATATCACACAGCCACTAGAATGCCTAAAAGTAAAAAGACTGACAACACTAATGTTGGTAAGGTCGTAGAACAACTGGAAACCTCATACATTTCTGGTGGCAGTTTCTTATAAAGTTAAAAATAAACCTCCCTATAACCCAGCAATTTCATTCCTAGGTATTTACTAAGGTAAGTAAAAACACATGTCCACACACAAAGACTTGTACAAGAAAGTTTGTAGCAGTTTTATTCATAATAGCCCCAAACTGAAACAACCCAAACATTCATCAACAGAAGAATGGATAAACAAATTATGATGGATTCATACAATGGAATACTACTCAGCAACAAAAAAATGAACTGATAACCACACAGAAAAAAAATCTCAAAAACATGATTTAAGTGAAAGGCGGCAGAGATAAAAGAGTATACACTGCATGATTCCATTTAAATGAAGTTTAAGAAGAGGCAAAACTAATCAATGGTCCCAGATCTCAGAACAGTGGCTGCCTGAGGACTGACTACAAGGGAACTTTCTTAGGGTGATGAAAATGTTCCATATCTTTTTTTTTTTTTAAAGATTTGCACCTGAGCTAAGCTCTGTTGCCAATCTTCTTTTTTTTCCTTCTTCTTCTCCGGAAAGCCCCCCAGTACATAGATGTATATTCTAATTGTAGGTCCTTCTAGTTGAGTTATGTGGGATGCTGCCTCAGCATGGCCTGACAAGCGGTGCCATGTCGGTGCCCAGGATCTGACCCGGTGAAACCCTGGCCTGCTTAAGTGGAGCACATGAACCTAACCACTAGGCCATGGGGCTGGCCCCAAAATATTCTATATGTTGAGTAGGATAGTGGTTATCCAAGTACACAAATTTATCAAAAGTCATTGAAGTGTACACTTAAGATCTGTATATTTTACAGCATGTAAATTTTACCCAGGGAAAGTTTTTAAAATTTTATCATTCAGATATGCTTTAGTTGCATTAAAGTCTTACCCTGTATGCACGATGGGCACGTTTTATCAAGCTATTCTGCAGGCACGGTAATGAACTATTATCAAAGATTAAATATTAACTAATTAAAAGAAAGTACAGGGAAGGTTATCATGAATACAAGACAATGTCTGAAGGTTAAAACATAAGTCTTATTTCCTATTACAAAATTCATTTCCCATATAATAACCTATTATAAATACTTCTATAAGCAGAAAATATATTACTATCTCCACACACCGATTTCGGATATGTCATAATCTACTCCCTCCTGGGGCTTCAGATGGAGGGTCAGGGACGAGTTGGGGCTGAAAAACATCAAACAAAGTAATATAAATAATTTCTAAGAAGGAAATGCACAGCATCCTAATAAAGAATAAAGGGGAAATCTATTTTAGAATGGGTGGTCAGGGAAAGCCTCTCTGAATAGGTAACATTTGGCAAAATTGTAAAACATACTGAAATTCAAAAGCTGAGTAAAGTTAATTAGGTTAAAGAGAAGCAAAAGAAGTAGGGCAGGGAGAGGGAACTTTGTACACAAAGCCCCAAAGTCCCTTCGGTACCAGCAAGGAAGAGTTAGCTGGTACCAAAAAGAATCAGGCTATGTTAAGTCAGTGGAGCAAGTGGCTTCGAATAAGTTTGAGGAGAGACCGGTAAGGGCCAGATCACATTTCGGATTAACATGGACTTCATGAGAGATCTGGGGTTTCACTGACTTGTAACGGGAAACCAACTGAAGAACTTCACAGAGAAAAGGAGCCGAGGCACCAAGAGCCCCAGCACTATGGTAAACACTTAGGAGAGCAAAGTGAGGGGAAAGGGCTCACGTGTTAAAAACTAACACTCTCGACGGGGAAGACTGACTTTCATGTGGGTTTTATTATTGATATTTACCAAAAGATAAGCATATTTTATCATGACACAGTCTTGATTTAATGGAAACTAACAATACTAACACTGGCTCCCTGGCTTAAAGTACAAACAAGTACACTAGATTTAATATAAGATGATAGGTCTTTGGAGACTTAATGAAGGCAAAGACTACCTAGAGAAAAGCTAAATGTTCAATAAGAGAATAAATGATTATGCAAAATAGTTTACTTAATGCAGACATTAAAAAATCTATTTTTGAGTAACATATAAGAGCATGAGTAAATTGTAATGACTACGTGAAAACAGATCATTAAAACTGTATAGCATCACTTCCCTTTTAGAAAAAAGAATTAACAGTATACAAATGTAAACACATACATATGTAGAAATACTGGAGGACAAACACCAGTGCTTACATAATACTGTCATGTACGTGGGTCATGGGATCATGTGTTTGTTTTGCTTTTTCGTCTATTTTCAAGTTAGCTGCACTGAGCATGAATCACATTTTTTTAAATACAGTTTTAAAAAGTTATCGTAATTAACACAATAAATTGTTGATTCTTCTTGCCTGTTGAGAAACCTCATACATGATGTAATGTCTGTAACTGCTTTTAACAAACTTACAAAGATTTTTTTGAGCTCAAGTAAATTATTGGTATACTCTCCCACAAAACTGATGCTTGTATCAATTAAAAAAAAACAAGATTAGGAGTGATCTCAGCAACAAGACAGAGTGAGTGGTTTTCTTTATCTCTCCCCCTTCAAACTACAACTAAATGGACATTCATTATCAACGGAGGATACTCACGCAGCACCTCAGGACGCCTGAGAGGCCCGTGCTGCTATACATCAGAAGATGGATGGACTACCCCTGGGGAGGAGGTGGAGATAGGTGAAAACTCTCTGGCCCCCAGACAGCCTAGGACCTGAGAGTGACTCTCTCCTGGCTGATAGGCTCACAGCACTGCCACAGCCCCGAGGACGGGCGTGTGCATCAGTGCAACTGTGGAAACAGGTGACTACAGCCCTAAGCCCCCCATGATTGTCCTGTGGACCAGTGGGAAAATTCACAGTCCCACAGTGGCCACAGGGAGAGTCTGTGGTTGGCCCTAGTGGAGAGGCCCCACCCACCAAGCACTAAGGCTGGGCGACCTCAGGGCAGGAGTGGCTCAGCTGGGTGAGCTACGTACCAGGTGCATTAAACACCCATAGCTCTGCTGTGGCCCTGAGAGGGCAAGTGAGATCCAGCAGGAACATGTGAATGGGTGAGGACAATCCAGAGCCCCAAAGTGACTGCTCCTTTGTCCGGAGGAAAATCCACAGTCCCACAGCGCCCAGGGAGAGTCTCTACTTGGTCCTAGTGGAGAGGCCCCACCCACCAAGCACAAAGGCTGGGCAACCTAAGAGCAGAAGTGGTACAGCCAGACGAGCTAACTGCCAGCTGCATTAGATGCCCATAGCTCTGCTGCACCTACAGTGAACAAGAGAGATCCAGCAGGACCAGATGGTGGCAGAGCTGTAAGTGTGGGCAAACCAGCTCCCAGCTGCTGCAAAAGCCCATAACACCGCTGCAGTCCCTTAAGGAGGCAGTGTGTCTAGGTGGGTCTGTGGCAGCAGGTGGCAGCAACCTGAAGCCCCCGTGTGATTGTTCCCACAGTTGACGGGAGACCCCACAGGGTGACTGCGGCCCCAAGGAGGGGCCCAGGCTCAGTCAGGAACAGCTGACAGGGACCCTGGTCGGTGCAGACTACACAGCTGCTGCCCCCTCCCAAGCGCAAGTGGAAGCAGTAACCAAACTCCATCTCTATGTGGAGGCACAAATTCACGCCATCAAGCAGTATGACAAAATATATTAAATCTCAAGAACAAAAGGAAAATGATAAGTACCCAGAAAACAATCCCAAAGACACAGAAATCTATAACCTAAATGACAAAAGAATTCAAAATAGCTATCATTAAAAAACTCAATGAGTGAAAAGAGAATACAGATAGACAACTCAATGAGTTCAGGAGCTATGTTACAAAAGAGCTTGATGCTATAAAGAAGAACTAATCAGAAATGCTGGAGATGAAAAACACAATGGAGGAGATTAAGAAAAATCTGGACTCCCTGAACATAAGGGCTGATATTATGGAGGACAGAATTAGCAGTCTGGAGGATAGGAATATGGAAGTGCTTCAGATAGAAGGGGAGAGAGAACTAAGACTAAAAAGAAATGAAGAAACTCTCCAAGAAATATCTGAATCAATTAGGAAATGCAACATAAGGATTATAGGTATCCCAGAGGGAGAAGAGAGGAGAATGGAGCAGAAAGCTTGTTCAAAGAAATAATAACTGAGAACTTACCAAACCTGGGGAGAGAGCTGGATATCCATGTGACAGAAGCTAATAGATCTCCAAACTTTATCAATATAAAGAGTGCAACCCCAAGGCATACAGTAGCGAAGCTTGCAAAAGTCAACGACAAAGACAAAACATTAAGGGCAGCAAAGTAGAAGAAAATAACCTACAAAGAAACCCCATGAGGCTGTCAGTAGATTTCTCCGCAGATATCTTACAGGCTAGGAGACAGTGGAATGATATATTCAAAACTCTGAAAGACAAAAACTTGCAACCAAGAATACTCTATCCAGCAAAAATATCCTTCAAATATGGTGGAGAAATAAAAACTTTCCCAGATAAACAAAAGTTAAGGGATTTCCTTGCCACAAGACCCCCCCCCCCCTTACAAGAAATGCTCAGGAAGGCCCTCATACTTGAGGAAAAAAAGAAAAGGAAAGGGGTTACAAAACCCTGAGCAAAGGAGATAAGCAGAAAGACAAAATCAGAAAACTGCAGCTCTCCATCAGAACAGGTTAGCAAATGCTTAAGTAAAACATTAAAGATAAAGGGAAGGGAAACACCAAGAATAAATACAATTTTGTCATTTTAACCCAAACTCACAACACAAGAAGAAAAAAATATGTGACAATAACAACCTAGAAGGGGAAGAGGAAAGGGATGGAACCAGCTTAGTCTAAGGAAATAAGAGGCTATCAGAAAATAGACTATCTCATCTATGAGATGTCTTATATAAACCACATGGTAACCACTAAACAAATAATTAAAACAGAGACACAAATTACATATAAGAAGAAAATCAACACAGAAAACTACCTAACAGAATTGGTAGTCCGAAATTCATGGGACAAGAAACAAAGGAAATGCAGGAGAACTGGAAAAGGAGTGATAAAATGGCAGCATTAGGCCCCCACATTTCAATAATCACTCTAAATGTAAATGGATTGAATTTTTCAATCAAAAGACACAGAGTGGCTGGATGGATTAATGAACAAGACCCAACAATATGCTGCCTCCAGGAAACACACCTCAGCCCCAAAGACAAACACAGACTCAGAATGAAGGGTTAGAAAACGATATTTCAAGCTAGTAGTGAACATAAGAAAGAAGGTGTTGCCATACTTATATCAGACAAAACAGACTTCAATGCAAAACAGGTAAAGACAGACAAAGAGGGATAGTTTATAATGATAAAAGGGACACTCTACCAAGAAGACATAACACTTATAAATATATATGCACCCAACATAGGAGCACCAAAGTACGTAAAGCAACTATTAACAAAACTAAAAGGAGATATTAACAATAATACAATAATAATAGGGGACCTCATCAACCCACCTATACCAATGGATAGATTATCCACACAGAAAGTCAACAAGGAAATTGTAGAATTAAATGAAAAACTAGACCAGATGGACTTAACAGGGACACAGGGATGGTCCAACATCTGCAAGTCAATCAACGTGATACACCACATTAACAAAATGAGGAACAAAAACTACATGATCATCTCAATAGATGCAGAGAAAGCATTTGACAAGATCCAACATCCATTTATGATAAAAACTGTCAATAAAATAGGTATAGAAGGAAAGTACCTCAATATAATAAAGGCCATATATGACAAACCCACAGCCAACATCATACTCAATGGGGAAAAACTGAAAGCCATCCGCCTGAGAACAGGAAGAAGACAAGGATGCCCACTACCACCACTCTTATTCAACATCGTACTGGAAGTTTTGGCTAGAGCAATTAGGCAGTAAAAAGAAATAAAAGGAATCCAAATAGGCAATGAAGAAGTGAAACGCTCACTGTTTGCAGACAACAGGATCTTATACATATAAAATTCTAAAAAATCCATTGGAAAACTACTAGAAGTAATCAACAATTACAGCAAAGTTGCAGGATACAAAATCAACTTACATAAATCAGTAGCATTTCTATAGTCTAACAACGAACTAACAGAAAGAGAATTCAAGAACACAATCCCATTCACAATTGCATAAAAAGAATGAAATATCTTGGAATAAATTTAACCAAAGAAGTGAAAGACCTATACAATGAAAACTACAAGACTTTCCTGAA